ATAAAAAGTCAATAAAATATATTAAAAAAATAAAATAATATTTGTTATTGGTAGAGTTAAATGTAAAGAAGTTAGAAAAGAGCCTGGAAACAGTCATATTAGTGTTAGAACACTTACCCCCAAATAAATAATATTTTATTTAAAAAATATATAATTTTATTGATTTTAGAAGAGAGAGAGAAACATCAATGATGAGAGATAATCATCAATCAGCTGCCTCCTGCATGCCCCCTACTGGGGATCAAGCCCGCAACCCTGGCATATACCCTGACCAGGAATGAAACCATGACCTCCTGGTCCATAGTTCTACTCTCAACCACTGAGCACACCAGCCAGGTGGTCTTTTATTCTTAATATAGATTAATAGAAGTTCTTTAAAATCTAAGAAAATTAGCCCTTCATTGGCAGTATGTATTTTCCCTATTTACTGTTTGGATTTATTTATAATGTTCTTTTTTATACAGAAAATTTTAATTTTTATAGTCACAATTTAAAATCTAGCTTTCTTTAGTCTTGCTCATAAAATACATATAATAAATACTATCTATAATGAGTAAAGCAAGAATTTAAATTACATGTTTTCGTCTATGGTTTCTGGGTATTATAGAGTACTTACAAAGACCTCCTTCCCTGTGTTTTCTTTGAGTACCTTCATAGCTTCCTTTGATTTCATATCAATCTTTTATCCTACTAGAAATTTTTTTCATATAGCTTCCCAACTTTCCCAGCTCCTTCATTAAGTAATTCATCTTTCTTACTGAATTCATTTTCTTAATTTTAAAAATGAAAGTTAACATTTTTTAAAAAATATATTTTATTGATTTTTTACAGAGAGGAAGGGAGAGAGATAGAGAGTTAGAAACTTTGATGAGAGAGAGATATCGATCAGCTGCCTCCAGCACATCTCCCACTGGGGATGTGCCCGCAACCCAGGTACATGCCCTTGACCGGAATCGAACCTGGGACCCCTCGGTCCGCAGGCCGACGCTCCATCCACTGAGCCAAACCGGTCTCGGCTGAAAGTTAACATTTTGCACAAGTGAATGCATGTTAACAGGTAATGTCTGGTGTTACTAGCCTCTATGGCACGAGTGAATGCATGCTAACAGGTAATGTCTGGTGTTACTAGCCTCTATGAGAAGGCTCAACAAACTTACTACTCGTTTTATAATCTTAAGTAATTCAACTACACTTTAATACACCATGGAATTACTTGTAAGAAAATAATGGTCAGCTCCTTTTCCAAATCCGTGAGCAAATTTGCTCACTCTGAACTCTTTTAGTCTCATATTCTTTTGTATATTTCATTAGCGCCTTATTTTGAGCCTTTCTCTTTTTTTTTAAATATATTTTTTATTGATTAAGGTATTACATATGTGTCCCTGTCCCCACATCACCCTCCACCCACCCCCCGTTGTCCGTGTCCATTGGTTAGGCCTCTATGCCTGCATGTAAGTCCTTTGGTTGCTCTTTCCCCTTTACCCCCACCCTCTCCTACCCTCCCTCCAAAGCCCGACAGTCCAATCAATGCCTCTCCGTCTCTGGATCAGTCCTTGTTCATCAGTTTATGTTGTTCCTTATATTCCACAAATGAGTGACAACATAA